CCGAAAATACGAGCCCGATCCTTCACACGTGTTGGATTAAACCAAATTAGAGATAGATGAGAATGCCTCATATGAAGAGAGGTCAGTTCCAATGTTAGATTCTCGAGATCAAGTCTTGAGGGGCAAGACTATCCCATTGGCTAAGGTGTTGTGGCGACACCATGGCGTTAAGGAGGCGACTTGGGAGTGTGAGGTGAAAATCCATAAGAAGCATCCGGACCTATTTGTTGATATGTAAGACTTGCATTGTAAATTTTATTCATGTTGTAATATGTGAACATTGTAAATGTTTTGGGGACAAAATTTGTAATATTGGGTGTTGGAGGACTCTGTTCTATCATTGTTACTAATGTGGTTTGAATTAATCCGATTGCTATTGATTTGTTTTAAATTTCAGGAACAAAATTTCTTAAGGGGGAAAGATTATAACGGTTCCGGTTTAGACCCAACCCATTTAATACTCTTAGATCTGAGATTCAGTACTTTTAACTGTTATTCATATCCTTTGTTGTCTTGTTAGTAGTCGAGTTGAGTTGTTGGTCGTGTTTGAAACAAGTTGGGAATTAGTTTTTCAAAAGAGTTGCTGTCTAATTTTCTGCTTGTTCACTCAAGCGATGTTTTGGTCACTCGAGCGGTCTTTGAGATCTCTCAGTATTTTTACAAGTCTGCAAAACTTTTGGGAGTAGGGTGACCTTTGCTCGAGCGGTCCTTGTGCTCGAACAGTCTCTACTGTTTGCATGACTTCTAGAAGGGAGTCATTGTGCACTCGAGCAGTTTTTTGGTTGCTCGAGTGGTCAGCGCATATATTAATTCGGGAAAATGAGTTTTTGGATCACTTTTTCATTCCCTCTCCCTCTCTAAAACCTTCCAAACCCTAATCTCTCCACTTTCTCTTTCTAGTTCTTGCTTAAAACCTCAAATACTCCACCATCCATTGATTTCTCCACCATTGCTCTTTGGAGAAAAAAGTAGAGCTCGTCGGGGGCTTCAATCTAATTGGAGAGGATATCGTTTTTGGCTCTGTCAAAGTTTCACTCTTGTTCTCTTCCTTTTCTACTCTTTAAGGTAGGGATTTCTTCAACCTCGTGTATAATTTTTAAATTAGTTATTTGCTTCTAGAAAGTGTTTGGTGATCTGGAAATTTTAGGTTAAACTTAGGGTTTGATTTTGAAATATAAAAGAAGGGTTTTCAAATGGGTGCTTGAAAAAGGTTGTGAGAATATGTTTATGATTGAGATATGCTGAGAAGTTGGAATTTCTTTACTTAAATGTGATTTTAAGAGTAAATGAGGTTTTGTTCAAAAATTATTGATATTTAATTTTATGAAAGAAAAGGGAAAAGATATTTAGTTTTGAAAGGATGAAATGAACGTATCTGTTGATGACGAGGTGGGGTTGGATATGTAATATCGCTCTCATTTTGAAAATAATTATATTATATCATTTGTTGGAAATTATTTGTTGAATAAAAATATCTGTTTTAGGCTATTGGTGAAGGATAGCTTTGGTTGTTGTAAAAATTACATGAGGATTAGGTAAATTGAAACTAATTACTCATGCATCTTGCATTGAGCATTCTCTCATACTTAAGCATTGAAAATGTATTATTTTAAGAAAAAGGGATGTATACCTTGGTGAATCTAGTTAGATGGTAGAGGTGTGGCTATGGCTTATATTGTTGGCCTATGGGTCCTTAGTGAAAGTCCAAAACCCGTGCGGTTAAGTGCCGATCCTTCCGGTTAGTACCGGTAAAATGCCTTTGGTAGTGCTTATATAGGCAGACACATACCTAGAGATTCCTAGTATTTTGGATCCACTGCCCTATTCTCTGATATAAAAGGATATTTTCTCATGAAGGAATATATAATATTGACATTGCATCGTTTTGAGATGAAAATGTAAAACATTTGACAAATAGCATGCATATGCATTCACCTTATGTGATTTCGTTAAGATTTATACATTTTGTTAAAATATCTCTACTGGACTTTGACTCACTCTATGTGGAAAACAACTTTCAAGTGCTAATGACATACCTCCACCAAGGACTTGGCTTGAGAGGACCTAGCTTGAGAGGACTGTAGAGCTGAAAGCTCATTTTGTTTTCTTGTTGTAATTACTTTTGTACAAGCCTTAAGCTTTTAACTGTATTAAGTTGAACTCATTTTTGTTGTACCCAAGCATTGTCTTAGAAAGATGTAGCAACTAGTGCATTAACTTATCTGTATAGCATTTTATTTCAATTCACTCATATGTAGCATATGCTATAGATTCAGGATATAAGATTTATGAATATATACTCACATATGTCATCTTTTATACAGTAAACGAATATAAATGAAAGATTATTACTTTGCATGTTACGTTTTTTTTTACTATTCATGTTAGGTTGTCGTCATTATTTTGGGAGCGACATGACACAGTGGGTACTCTATAGGCACGGGATGGGTACTCCACAGCAACTGATTTTTTTTTTTTTTAAGAAGATGGAATTTGATACAAGTCTACAGCCTTATTCCTCTTTAATCATCTTTAAAAAATTTCGGTAATTTGGAACCACCAACTCAATACACTGTTATTAAGTAACTTTGTCATCTTCTATTTATTGTTGTATACTTAGTAGACAATTAGAATTATATAAAATAAAATAAAAAATTGATGTTTATAGGAATATTGAAAATTATATTGATGCTTCATTGCTACTTTCATAATATTGATGTTTATAAATTGTTATTTGAATATTTGAAAATTAGATACTTGAATGAAGCGAAAGAATTCAAAAAATTGTTGTCTTAATGGTTATAGGAATAAGAGTTCATCAGGTTTAGGATTTTATTTTAGTATTGTATTGGTGTTGTTGAATGTTGATTTATTTTTGACTTTGTAATTTCTCTTTTTAGCTATTGTTTTGAACTTTGATTTGTAGGTGGGATATTTAGCTATAAATTAGAATAATAATAATAATAAAAAAATAAATATATGACATACCCTGGTCCTAGTTGTACCCGTACCTTTCCTTTTTTAGATTTTAGTGTATCGGTGTACCCGTTCCGGCACTGGTGCTTTATGGAGTTTGGTTAACTCGTTTAATAAGATGTTATAGACGAAGAAATATGCCAAAAAATGGAGGAAAGCAAATTTCATATTTGAAGTTTCAAGTTGCAACAACTATGGTGGGATTAAACTTGTGAGTGATACAATGGGACTTTAGGAGAAGAGTGATAGAACATCAATGGCAATATAAAACAACTGAAATAAAAAATAAATCCAGTTTTATCTTTTGCCAATAAAATCATCCATGAATTTAATTCCACTCTTAGGGGATTGATGGAGAAATTTAAAGAAGAGAAAAAGGAACTCCATATAAAACTTTTTGACTCTTTAAAAAATATATGACATGATTCCTGTGGAGACAACTTGGACAGGTTTAGATAACAAGGGAGTAGTAGTTACATACATTAACAGGACATGTGCTATGGAGTACTAACTATTATTACGAGAAATATTAGAGGAAATTTCAAATAACTAAAAGCTTAACCAAATGTCAACATTGACTTCTTATCTTCTTTCATTGGTTATTGATCCCTCACAAACAAAATAATAATTAAATAAATAAAGTTAGAAACTCTGCCAGTGTAGTTGTATAGCATAACCATCTCCAGCTAGCTTAAAAAAAAATTAAAAAGGGATAACTCCAATTATAATCTCTAAAAATGCCCCAATTATAGGTCGACTTGGATTCTGATAGGCATCTATCAAACTTGAAGTTAATTCTCCCTGCAAGGGACAGGAAATGGGACAAGGATCAAAATCACCTAGCCCATGCTTATATTAGCATATGATTCTTGTATCACCAAACAGGATGATGTTTAAGCAAGTTTGATTTTTCCTTTTGAGGAAGCATGTAACAATAACTTTAAACAAACCCCCATCCCCCCCATCTCCAACAATAATAATAAAAGAAGAAAAAAATGTTGTTTCTGGAAACCAATTTCCATGGAATTAGACTACAGGAGATGACAGAAGTGAGACTTGTAGCATGCAAGAGAGTTCCAACAGGTATCACACTTTCACCTTGGTTGTAAAGGTTAACCAAGGCAAAGAATAGCTTGTTTTGAAAATTGATGCTCCAAATTTCAGTTAAAAAAACACGAAAGCAAAAAAACTGAACTTCATTCATCATTCTACAATAGTTTTTTTTAATATTTTTATTGGCACCAAGGTGTCTAGATCAAAACCCAACTTAATCCTCAAGGATGCATTGGCCCTCGGTAAGGAGTTTCCCACAACTGCACCACGGTTAATTCAAGAATTTTCTCCCAGTCCAATGGCCCCCAAAGGAATTGTTAGCACCTAAAAAGTTTCGATCCCTAAACATTGGAGGGACCACGACCTAATACCCAATGCCCGCCACCAGGCCAACGCATTGGAGTTATCATTCGATAATAGTTTGCATATAAAAGGACATAAACATCTCAATGAGAAAGCAGCAGGTAACCTGAAGTGATTTCACAAGAAGTGGTACACATGAGTGGGCAAGTCTATCAAATAGAATCATGTTTAACCAACAATCATAATGCATCTATTGTTGCTGGTATGATTTGAATCCATTCTATTTATATAGCATGCAGTTTAGAACTAGATGCATCAATGACCCCAATAAAAAATTAAATATAATGTTTGTGAGAAAAAAAATGAAATGGTTATGAGTTTGATATGGCATTTTGTTTTATTGGCTATTTTAGCCCATTTTGTGATTTTAGCCCAAAAATCTTTAAAAAAAAAATCCTATCCCAAACACCCCCAACATCCAGCAATTAAAACATACAAGAATTGCCCCTTAAGCAGACAATGCACCATTCGATATAAAATTCAAGACCACCGTACGATTCAAAAAAGCAAATTAAAGAAACGTAATGCATTGGCTCAGTATAGCATAACAGTTCAAATTTCAAACCAATCAAACTTTAAATGCAATTAAAAACAAGACATAAGCGTACCTAATACCCTGGTTACTCCACTGTGCAAGAATATCCCTGGTGACTGCGCTACCAAAAACCATCAAGAACAACTGGTTTGCCTCTGCCAGCGATAGTTCTTTCCCCAATTCCACATTCTTCCCCTTAGAATCACCCATACACTTCTGCCCCTCAGCTCCATCACCCAACCCTTTCTCTTCCACCGCAACAGCAACACTCTTCTCCGCCATCTGAGCCGCCGACGCAGCGCCCCTCGCGGCCACCATCCGCCTCTCCGCCGCGGCCGCCATCAGCTCCCTCTGCATCTTCCGACTCTCCTCCGGCGACCCCACCGGACCTCCGCCTCCGACGACGTTCTCCCTCGGCTTGCTCCTCTTCGGCTCCGGCGGCTCGTGCTGCATACTCATCCTCATCGCCATCCTCAAATCCTCCTCCTCTTGATCCGCCATCGAATTCCTTCTCTCTCTCTAGATCAGATCCAAATTACAATCCCAAATCTTTCACAAAAACCTCAAAATTAGGGTTTCGAATCGATTCTGACGCTTGCATATAAATACAAGTATATATGTATAGATCAAAATTCACAACACAAATGAAATTCGATTATATGTAAATATATATACATATACGCCCGTGATCTAGCAAGGTTTCTTGTAGAATCAAACTGAAAAGAGATCAGAAGCAACGAACTAGTGATCTGAATTCGAAACCCTAAGAAAGGAATATATATGCATACACATAAACGTACATATATATATATATATAGATAGATAATATAGAAATAGAAATAGAAAGAGATTGGGGTTTTAAATATTTGAATTTAATTTGATATCTGAGAGACGAAACAAATACTGGCGACTGATTGCTGGTCGGGAACAGCAAAACGGGGTCGTATTGGAATGACTATTCCAGTGGCTTTTGATGGAATGACTATTTTGTCCCTGGTTGTGTTTGGTGAAGGAAGTGAAGTGGTGGGATGTGAATTGGGGAAAAGTTGCGGGTGTTTTGGTAAATGAGGGATTTGGATAATTAAAAATTGAAAAGCACGTGGAGGAGGAGATACTTGCCTTTGGTGGAGAGCGAAGGCTTGCTTTCTGGTGAGAGAATCTTTGTAGCGTTTGGTTTACAATTCCACACTTAAATTTGTTTTTAAATAATGATTTGAATTAAAAATTTTAACCAAATAAATTTTTTAAATTCATTTCTTTTTTATTATTATTCATCTATTTCTTTTTCTCTCTTATCTCTCATCTTTTTTCTCACATTCTCTCACATTTCATGCATCAATTAATTAAAAAAATAAATAAATAAATTATAAATCATCTCAAAACTATTTTCAAAACTTATAACCAAATAAATTTTCTTTTTTTAAATCATAATTCAAAAAATCAAAACTTTTAAATAATGATTTAAATTAAAAATTTTAACCAAATAAATTTTTAAAATTCATTTATTTTTTTATTATTATTCATCTATTTCTTTTTCTCTCTCATCTCTCATCTTTTTTCTCACATTCTCTCATATTCCATGCATCAATTAATTAAAAAAATAAATAAAAAAATTATAAATCATCTCAAAACTATTTTCAAAACGTGTAACTAAATAAATTTTCTTTTTTTAAATCATAATTCAAAAAATCAAAACTCAAAACACAACTCCACATTTAAATCATAATTCTAAAACTAAATCAAACGGACTCTTTAATACTGTGGGTGGGTGTGGAGTTTTAAGGGTGAAGATAGAAATAATCGTTGTATTTGATTTTAATTTTTTAGATTCAATTTTTAAAAAATTAATTTTTTTTTTAATTTTTAGTTAATATTTTTAAATTTTTAAATATTTTTTAGATTGACCTTATTTAGATATATCTAAAAAGTAAAATATTTATAAAAAATCAATAAATACATAGTAATACGAAAATGTATTAAATTTTTATATGTTTAGTATTTAGTAAATTTTTTCACAAATATTATATTTTCTAAATGTATATATATTAACTATATCTAAAAATTATTGAAAATATTAAAAAAATTAATAAAAATTAAAAAATACAGAAACAAAAACTTCAACTTTCTTGAAAAATAAAACCAAACAAGCTAATATGGGAGGTGCTTTGTGTGATTTGGTGAAGCTGTCCAACTTGCTTTTTATGGCATCATAATCACCGTTAAACTTTTATTTCTTGGAATATTGGTTACATTTTGATTTGACCTAATTGATGAATATTTGACAAGGATTGGTGTAACGCTGTATCCTTAATTGGAGAAATTATTGAATAATTTTGAAACATCATGTAATTATATTTTAAATTAATTATAAATTATTTAGTTTTATCAACAAAAATAAATATTAATTCCAAATTTTACCATGTTTGCCCGATAAAGCATACAAGTGGGTTTTTTTTTATGTGTTTGGGCAGGTCAAAAATGAGTTATATGTTCAAGTAATTCAAACTCGTTTATATAATAAATATGTTACAATAAATTAAATATAAGTTTAATAGATAATTTAATCAATCTATTTACCTTGTTGAACTCATTTTTCAATGATGGTGAGGTGGTGAGGTTGATAATTGACATCCTTAATCTTTTAAATTTTCTTTAAAATGGTATTAAAACGGATGAAACGAAAGTGTTATAAATTATAAATAATCAAATACTTATATATAGGGTTACGTTTCTGTCATGTTGGTCATTTCAATTTGAAAAAACATTTAGGCTTGGTAGACTAATTTCAAGATTGATTTTAATGATCTGAACTGTTCACTTTTTATGACCCGTTAAATAGAATATTCATGTAAAAAATTAAGATAATCGGACACCGATAACTATATATTTGAATCAAATTTATATTACAAAAAATGAAAATCTATTCTCGAAATTATATTTATTATCCATTTTTTTAAAACAAATATGATTCAACCATATAATGTTGATATCTCAACATGAGAGAACATGAGAGGTTTATAGAGCCCACCACAGGTCCCGTTTCGATGATCCGAACCATTCATTTTGTAGGACTTACAATATATAATATCTATGAAAAAAATTAGTTCAATCTAATTAGCATAACCCTTTCATTTTATTATATTTGTCTCCAAAAAAATGGACGACAAACATATTTTTGAAACAGACCCTTCATTTTTTTATAACAAATGTGATAAAATAAAGATGTTATGATTATTGAATCACTCTAAATTTTTTCATAGATAATATACATTAGGAGCCCTACAAAATAAATGATTTGGATCATTGAAACAATACCCATTATGAGTAAGCCTCTCAAATTCTCTCATATTAAAATCATCCAAAAGTAATATACACAAACGTCAACAATTTACTTCAAAAGTTACATAAGTTATCTAATTAGCATAATTGGAAATAAATAATAAAAAATAAAAAAAATAAAAAACTTAAGCTACACATTAGTGAGATAGTTAGTTGTATATTTTAGGGCAGATTATACTAGTGATCTCTATAATTTGAGACTTATGTCATTTTGATTCCTGACTTTTCAATTGTGACGCATTTGATCATAAATTTTGAATCTTATTCCAAATAAGGACGATTGGAGATATAATTGCTCAATTTTAAGGGCAAAGTTGTCAATTTGATAAAATATAAACTAATTTGACAAAAATAAATGTCAAAAAAATATTTTTAAATTTTAAAAATTTATTTATATCCACCAAAGATAAAATTATATAAAATTGATAAATCTTTTATACATTTATTTATTTATTTATTTTACCAAATTAATTTTTATTATGTGTTTGAATGATAATCATGTAATGGATGGTTATTTTTATTTTCATTAAATTAGTTTCTATTTTTCTAAAAGTCAAATATGGCGACAACTTTGATATTGTTAAACCAATCCATTATATCAAAAAATCTAAAACTAAAAATATTTTACATATTAAATATATCGATTACATATTAAAAGCCTAACAACCACCCATTACATTATCATCATCCAAACACATAATAAAAATTAATTTAGTAAACTAAATAAATAAATAAATGTGTAAAAGATTGATCAATTTTACATAATTTTATCTTTAATGGATAGAAATCATTTTTAAAAATTTAAAAATATTTTTTTGACATTTATTTTTGTCAAATTAGTTATATTTTATCAAATTAACGACTTTGTCATTAAAATTGAACAATAGTATCTTCAATTGTTCTTATTTGGAATAAGATTTAAAATTTAAGATTGTTAGTGTAATTCATCCTATATTTTATTTTAAAATATGATAATAAGATGTATATATTTGAATAACTCTATACATACTAATAATCTTACTAAAAATATAAATGGTTAAATGTGATTGATTGTCCAAAAAAAAAAAAGGAATATTTACTAATAAATCCCATCCCACAAGCAATTGCACCATTTGGTCCCAACGCTGTGTTTGTTGCTCTGATTGGTCCTATCAATGAGTGAATGTAGTTCTGTTGATCCTTTTTTCCTTGTTTGGTAATATGTATTGGTCATTTATATCCTTTTTATTCAAATAAGATGTATATATTTGAATAACTCTATACATACTAATAATCTTACTAAAAATATAAATGGTTAAATGTGATTGATTGTCCAAAAAAAAAAAAGGGATATTTACCAATAAATCCCATCCCACAAGCAATTGCACCATTTGGTCCCAACGCTGTGTTTGTTGCTCTGATTGGTCCTATCAATGAGTGAATGTAGTCCTGTTGATCCTTTTTTCCTTGTTTGGTAATATGTATTGGTCATTTATATCCTTTTTATTCACGTGGGCATTTTTTTTTTTTTTTTGGTGGGTTTTGTTGTGTATATGGAAGTACAATATGCGTTCCTTCATTGTGTTAGGGTTTTTCTGGCTGATGTGACGGTGTGTTGCGGTCATTGGTGTGTTTGTGGATAGACGGTGATTCGAGTTTCGCCGCCAGTAGTGCTACTGTGTTGGAGGTGTTGTTTTGTTTCGCGTGTTTTCGTGTGCGTTGTGTGTCAAGGTTAATTGCATGGTGTGCCATATAATGTTTATATTGTAATCGTTGTTCCCCATTCGTATGGGATTGGGTACATTTGTATTCAATATGTTAACAACTTTTTGGCTGTATACGTCGTTGTCCAGATGACACATTGGTGTCGTGTATTGGTGTTTTGAGTGTTCTAGGTTTGTGTTACTGTGTAATTTATACGATTTTTACATTCAATATGTGTTGATACACATTGCTGATTTTATGTGTATGTGATACACATGGCTAGGTTTTGCGTAAGGCCTTGTTCACACATATTCGTATGTTACAGTCTGGTGCGTTGCATTGATTGTAATCTAAAACCATTTCGTTACATTGTTTGCATATTGTAGGGATGGACACTCATGTTATGTTGGTTTGTTGTTACCGTGATACGAACGCCGCCATGAAGTTGCAATTTCCATTTCGATTTGATGATTTGGTTAATTCTGTCCGTAAAAATTTTGATGGTCTCACACATGCTGATGTGTGTTTATTTTTCAAGATTCCAGGATATAACAGTTTCAAATTACAAAATGATATTGATATGGAAAACATGGTATCCTTTGCACAATCTTTCTGTTTATGACATATTGACGTCGTCGTTGAAACTCGATGCACACAAAGTTCAGACGGTTTTGGTGACGCAAATTGGAAACCATCTGATGTTACATTCAGTTTGCCGAGGAAAGGATATGAGTCGGACGATGATGATTAACAAGATGATTTACTCCTCAAATTTTATCCTCATGTTGACAAAGTTTACA